TGTGCATCCATTTCTTTGGGCCCTTGGAAGGCAACCGCCACGACGTGACTATGCTTCGTGTTAGCAATTTACAAGCGTACTTCGAAACCAACGCTGACATATTCAACGGGTATTACATCTACGGGGATCCCGCCACTGCAATTTCAAAATGGATAATTTCAGGTTTTCGGGGCAACAATTTTTCAGCTCCTTGTCTTTGCAGGCCGACTCTCTTTCGCTGTCAAGTTCGATAGCTGCGACCAAACTGTTTCGGCGATTGTCCTATGCTGTCTTCTTCTTTGGTTCTTCTCCGTCGCCACTTTCAACGCGTCGTTTCATGGTCTTCGTGGCAATTTCTCGAACCAACTGCCCCCCTTGATCCAACTACTCCTTGTTGTCAGCCACATTAGAACGGTTTGATACCGCGGCATACTTAGCATCGTCCAATAACACCACCAAATCATCCAACAGCACGTGCTTATCAGTCTCCTCCTCGTCGACTCCAGATAGTTTCACCGACGCTGCATCGAAGATACGATGCTCATCCACCAAGGCAAGGAAGCGATGTTGCACCTACCTGCCGTCAACGACCCGGCCAAAGTGCTCACAGCTCATCAATCTGTCGGCTAAGACCTGCCACGCTGGGGTGACTTGACCTTTCTCTGCCACAATGGGAACGTCAGCAGCGACTTGTACCAACAACGCTTGATCTTCGTCCAACATCTAGTTGCGTCGCTTCTCCGGCAGTGCCATGCCTGTTTGTGTTCTCTGGGAATGGTAAGGCCCCCCACAGATTTGGCCGAATTTGTGCATAGAATAACAAAACTTCAAAGGTTTCCAATACATATATTTATTTTAACAGGTTTATGAATGGGGTTGGGAATGCAACGTTTGCGAAATCTCCATAATGATATACAATCGTGTATTAATAAGTTGTGGCTTGCAGCGCATTTATCCGGCCAAGGCGCCCTGCGAATACTCTGAAGCAGCCATTTGTAGCACATTCGTATCTTTTGGCGTACATATTCACTATCGCAGTTGACAAAAAACCCCTTAAATTGATCCTATGGTCACAGTCGTCTGTAGCGGGGCGCACAGAGCAAGGTGTGTAGAACAAGGTGTATTGTTAACTGGGTGAACTTGCTATCTCAGAGCTGGTTTCCTCGTCGCGCGGATGCGGGCCAGTCATGCAATTCATGTCAAATGAATGGTGCTGCTGCGGGAGTCGCAGAGCCTGATCTTCAAGACAATTGGATGTGTCAAGTGTCCTCTCGGGTCAGGATTGGAACTGGTCAATGGGATGTTGTGTCTGGATATTATCTGGACCCCGTTGCAGTCTTCACTGGGGTTTAATTATGAATCATAGCAGATCCACCCAATCAATGTCGCAATGATCAGGTTATCCGGTGAGCGTAGGTGTTTTGGGCGGCGCAGGCGGCCGACGAGTGGGCACACGGAGTGACTAGAATCATGATTTTGTATATGGCCTGTGTATGGACATGCCAACCTGGTACAACCCGACCCCTTGCGTGGGCACCAATACTTACACGCATACGTGAA